TGAGAAATAAAAAAGAAATGCTGCTCATCACACAATGCATACACGTGCGAAAATATATTTTTTTTTCCAAATTTGTCCTAATTTGTGTACTACCCTTAAATACCGCTTTCATTAAGAAATAATTAATTTACTAATACATAATTATTATATTCTAAAAAAACAAGCATTTTCTTTTACAATTAATATTAATTAACTGATAAATTAGGTAAAATGGTATAAGAAAAATGGTAAGAAATGAATTTTGTGTTTATTTGAGAATATTATGAAAAATATATCGTTTGTTGTTCATTGTTGTGATCGTATATATTTTACGCAAAATTTAATTTTGTCTTGTTTTTGCTTAAAATTAAAAAAAAAAATAATAAATCCTTAAAAATAAATATGTATAACCTATAAAAAATTAAAAATAAATACAATAAAAAAATCTACATGCAATAAAAAATAAATATAAAATGCAATTCCAAAATAATTGATTTTTTTAAAAATTAATTCTAAATTTGTTTTTTTTTTGATATTTATTATTATAATTAAAATAATAAATAAAATGTAAAATAACAAAGATGTCAAATTTATAAACAAAAAAAAATAAATAAATGAATAATAATGCATAAAACACATACATAAATTCAAATTAAATTATAATATTATGTATATAAAATATAATGTGCGTTAAGACTATAGCCCTCTGAGGCTTTGGAGTTGTCAGTGCTTTATTAAGAGATTAATGAATTTTAATGGTTTTAGGTTATGTTATGTGATGGGTATAAAAATTTAATGTTATGATATTAGTTTTAAAAATAAAATAAATACAAAATGTTTAATGATGGCAATAAAGTAAAAAAAAAAAAAAAACATTATTTTTAGTTAGAAAATTAAAAAAAAAAAACGAAAAAACGAATAAACATGATATACCATACCCTCAGTTTTCTTTTAAAGCATCAGTAAGCAACAAAATACTTATCTATTTATATGAAACTTACATAGACGAAATATGATTTTTATTTTTTATGTTATTTACATAATTATGTAACATTTATGTAATTATATATATATATATATTTTGTATAACAGATGAAATAACATTTTGTAAACTTCCTCTATAAAATATTCTATATATATATGTATGTTATGTAACAATGTATTGTTCCCAAGACATAATATAAATAAATTTAATAAAAAAATATATTTATTTAAAATATTAAAATTAAAATTATAATATTATAATCTTTGTTCAATAATGAAAATTTATTTAATCAAAACATAAATTCAATATTTTATTTTTATATTTTTTTAATTTTATTATTAAATTTTTAAAATTTTTGTAATTGCGTAAAACAAAATCAAAATTCCAAATTATATAATAATATTTTAATCTGTTATACACGGTAAATTTTAATCTGTTCCAAATTATATAATAATATTTAAACTGTTATATTTTTTTTAATGAACAAAGTTTATAATAATGTAGTCAAAGATTTTTTTAGGAATTTTTCAAAAAAAAATTTAATATTATTTTCATTTTAGGAACGCCAAAAAAGAAAATACAACAAACAAGTATGAAAATTAACAAAAAAAATTATTAAACATACAAGAAAAATATGAACACTATAGAGATTAATTTTTCCAAAAAAATATTTTTTTTTTTATTATTTTTAAAATTAGAATTTAATATTTTATATAAATATGTAAGTATAATAATTATATAATATGTAACAACATTCAAGAGAATTTTTTTTTTTCTTATTTCAAATTTCATTGGAATATTTTAAGAATTTTAATGGGATTACACAATATCACAAAATAAATAAAAATAATAAATTTGCAAATATAACACACTATTATAAATTTTATTAAAATTTTTCTAATTAATTTAACGAGTAATAATTATTAATTCAACAAGATTCTTTTTTTTTGTTTTGAATGGAAAATTTCATTCTAAATAAATTTTTAATAGAGAATAAATATAATAATTTAATTTAATTTTTTGTACTTCTCTTTTTTTTTTTGAAAATTTGAACTATTTTTTGTTTTAAAGCGAAAATCTCAAAAATGCTGCTTATTTTTATGAATTGCAATTTAAATTGGAATATAATATTCTTGAATAAAAATTTTATTTTTCTTATTCATTTAATAAAAAATTGTGGTGTACAAGAAGACTGTTACTATAATTTGACTTGAAATTATTAAAATAATTCAAAAATTTTAATATTTAATCTTTAAAATAAATATAGAACACATTAAGAATCATTTAATACAATAAAACCAACATTATTATCGTAAATAGTATTGCAATTCTTTTTACAGCATTTATGATAATATTTTCGAAAACAAAATATATTTGTTGGACCGCTACTATTACTATTATTATTTGTATTATTTGTCGTGGAAGAATTAATATTTTCATTACCCATTTTTGTTGCAGTGGCAATCAATTCTTTCATTGTCATTTTGCATAAGGGACAGCATGCTTCGTGTTGTGATGGATCATTTGGATCCGGTATTGGTAAAACTAAGGCCACTGTTTAGTTTTTTTTTTTCAAATATTATTTAAATTTTTTGGTAGCATTTTATTTTATTTACAATATATAAAAGCAAATAAAACAAAATAAATTAAAAATGGAAATTTTTAAAAATTAATATTATATTAATTAAAATTAATTTAAAATTAATATTCCAAAAAAAAAATAAATGGAATATAATAAAAAAAATGTTTTTTTTTTTTTGAGAATAATAATAAAATTTGGTTTCGAAAGCATGCATTTTACAAAATAAGATATTCATTTAAAATTTCATATAATGAGAGAAAAACAATTATAAATTTGTTTTAAAAAGCAAAAATAAATGAAATTAAAATATTTAAGAAATTAAAATTTTAATATTTCATTTAAATTATAATTTATTTATTTTTTTGTTAAAATAAACAAAAAATAAATATGAAATATCAAAAAAAGGCAGAAAGAAGCAGTGAATTTTTTTTTATAAATTTGGGTTTAAATTTTTTTTTTGGTAAGAAATTATAAAAAAATTTTGTAATTCGTGGGATATCGTTTTGTTTTTTTCAATGGGGAATTGTAGTAGTTAAAATTATATTGAATTTAAGTTTGTCAGTTTAAGTAAGTTGTATATCAAAACATTGTATAATTTTGTTTTTTTATTATTATTGTAAAAAGAGAGAGAAAAAAAAAAATACAAAAAACAAATTTTCATTAATATTTTTGGTTACATTAAAAAAAATATATTCAAAGAAAATATGCAATTTGAATGGGAGACGGCAATTTAAAATTTATAAATTTACTTATTAATTTATTTATTAATTTAAAACTTCAGTTTTATTTTCAAGTTATTTTAACATTTTATGCATAATATTTGGAACAAAATTTAATCTTGTTTTAATTAAATAAATATTTCAATTAAAATAAAATAATTTCTAATGCTTATTTAATTACTTAATTTAGAATATTAAAAAAACAATTTTTATTTATATATGTTTAACATTATTATTATTATTCTAATAAATTATTATAATTTTCGGCCACGAGAGCCATCCATTATAGGTGAAAAAAAAAAATTTATAAAACAAACATTTTTTGTATAATTTTTCAAAAAAATTAATTAAATATTTTCGATATTAATTGCACATTTTCTTTTATTAAAAATTTGAAAAAAAGAAAAAACTAAAATTTATTTTATTTTATTTTAATAAAATTTTTTTTAATTACTAAAATTCTTTATTGATAATTGGTAATGTGTTAAAATTGCAATCATATATTATTATTTATAATATTAAGACGAATAAAATATTTAATTGTGAATAAAATTATTAATTACTATAAAAAAAAAAAAAATTACTATTATTATTCAATTTATATTTTGTATAAAATTATATTTAATTATACACGCTTGCATAGCTCTTGCAGTGTTTAAAAATTAGAGAGTTTATTTTTAAAAAGCATAAAATGAAAAAATATTACAAAAAAATTATAAAAGAAAAATAATGTTTATTATGTATTTAGTAAGGAAAATGATGCAAAGATGAAAGAAAAACAATTTTAAATGGAATTACGAAAATAAATTAAGAATGTTTTACGGTTTTAAAAAAAAAAATGTTATTTTTATTTGAAAAATGAAAATTTTTTATGAAAAAAACAATAATAAAAAAAATTTTTTCAAACTAAAAAATTATTTTATTTTTTGTTTTTTTTTTCTTTTCTTTTAAATTGTTATTTAAAATGACCATTTCCTTTGATTTATTAATTTTTCTTTTATTTTCTTATTTGTTTTTTTTTTTGAAATTAATATGAAAATGTAGTTTTATGAGTATTTATATAATTTTGATTTATATAATGAAAAATTAAATGGAAAAATAAAATTAAATATATTTTGCATATTTTATTAAAAAATTTTTATTTTTTTTTTTAATTTATTAAATTGATTAATTTGAATTATGTAACTATACATAGTTAATTTGAATCTAATAATAAAATTAGTAATTAAAAATAGAAAGTTTTTTTTTTTTAGAATTTGCAGTGGTGGTGGGTTGATAACAATTTGTTGTTATTAATTAATAAAAACAAAAATTATTTTATTTGCTAAATTTTTAATTAAATTGTTTTTAAAAGTTTGTTTTAATTCTAATTATGGTGTTTTTTTTTTTTTTTTTAATATTAAATTTAATATATTTCTAATTCAATTGCTTTATTATTGAATATTATTTGTAAATTTGACATCTAACAATTTATTAATCAATATTATTTGTTTGTACAACTAAATACAATCAAAAAGAGAACGAAACTCAGCTTTATAAAATATTGTGAATTTATTTTTATTAACTATTAATTAACTAATTTAAAAAAAAAAAAAATTATTGTAAGCAAAATATATTTTACGAAAGTGAATTATTTTTCAATTTTTGATTTTTTTTTTTATATTCTAATATTTAAATTTACTAGAATAATATATATTTTAATAACTTAATCTAAATTGGATAAAAATAAACTCACCTCGACATGGATCATTCTTTTGTAAGAATTCATCAAGAGCAACCCAACCACCTCCAACACGAACCATAACAGTACTTCTTAAAATACGTACTAAACGTAATTTTTGAGAATCACCAAACTAAAAATAATAATATTTTAATTAATTTTGTAAATATAAAAGCATCTTATAAAAAAAAAAAAAACAGAAATATTTAAAATTTAAACTTACCCTATATTTACCCTCTCCAACTTGGAATACACGGAATTTTTGACGGCATGTACATAACATAACCAAACGTTTAACTTCATCATGAATTTTATCGTTATCTGTTAATGGTTTACGATCTTGCCAATCAGCACGTAATGCTGCCATAAATTCATCCCAATCAATTAAACCTTCACCGTTGCGATCAAAACGATCAGCAACTGCACCCATTTCAAGTCTCGATGTATCGAATTCTAAAAAAAAAAGAAACAGAAAAATAAAATTTTTTTTCATTAAATTTATTTTTTAAATTAAAATTTAAAAAAATTACTAGTATTAATGATTCCGTCAATAAAAACATCTCTTGGAATCAAACCATCATTTGTTTTATCCATTTTACGATAAAGATCCGTAAGACGTGATTTCTTATTATTAATATGTTTAAGGAACTGAAAAATTAATTGATTAAGAATTATTTTTCTTTTCTTATATATTATAATACAATTTAAGGTTGACTTACTCGTTTTCTCCAATCTTCCCAATTAAAGTTACGTACTCTTTCAACATCTTGCAAATATAAAAGATGTTCATGTAAACGACGTTGTCTTTCCCATGCCAACATCCATACATGACGCCATTTATCCCATAAAAGTTTTGCACGTGGGGAACGGAATTCGGCTTCAGGTACGTTACTATATATTTTTTTTTGGATTATATTAAAAAAATGATAAAATTAAAGTTATTGCAAATATTATTTTAAATAATAATTTATAATTGCACTACTATACAAAAAAAACAAACTACACAAAAGCGCAAAACTCAAACATTTATAAAATATAAACTAGATTAAAAATCTAAGAACAAAAATAAATATTTTATACTTCCCTTTAATTATTTATATACTTTTTATTTAAAGACTTTTAAAGTCAATTTTTAAAAATTAATATTAATTTTTTAGTTCATAATTATTTTCTTTATATAAAGAAGGCATATTTTTTTACAATGTGTAAATTTTGTTATTGAAAATAATATTGAAATTTTAACGAATTCTCGTCGAATTTGATTTTCAATTAATTTTGAAATTAAAGAATTACGAATTTAATCAATGAAATTTTCTTTTAAGAAACTCTTAAAAATTTCAAGAATGCGGATTCATTTTCTTTAAAAAATTTTTAAAATTCGAAATACATTTGATTTTTTAATAATGCACAAGCAATATATTTACAAGCAATTAATTTAAATTTTTATAATTTTGCTTTACATATTTACAATATTGAAAATTTTCAACTTTCAATTCGTAAAACAAAAAAAAAAAAAAAACAAACAATTGAATAATTAACAAATTCGACGCACATTGTTTAACTGTTATACGTGCTTACTAAGTAATAGTAGCTACTGCTTCATATATTTTAAAATCTAGCAAAAAAAAACAAACAATTGAATAATTAACAAATTCGACGCACATTGTTTAACTGTTATACGTGCTTACTAAGTAATAGTAGCTACTGCTTCATATATTTTAAAATCTAGTAAACTGATTATTAAATTTGTTGTGATTAAAGTTATAACAAAATACTATAGTGTAAATGAAAGTTTTTAAAATTTATGTGTAATATTGAGTTTTAATTTAATTAGATTCCATTTATTATGCAATTAATTTTTAAAATTTGACTTATAAATTAAAAATAGTATTTCGCACAAATCCTGAAGCAATAACTCTGTGTTTATTAATAAAAGAACCATTTAATTTTATACATACACATTAACAATTATAATTGTAATCTCCCTATATACATATATAAAGAACATTACAAATATTTTTTTTTTTAACTCAATTTCTAAATACATACTTATATTTAAAAAACAAAAAAGAAAAGAAACAATTTCTTCATAAAAAAGAAAAAAACCTTCCTTACCTTGGTGAAAATCTTGGACCATAATGTGGTAAACGAACTCTATCCGGTGTATCTCTATCTCGACTTGGACTAATTCGACTATGGTTTTTTTTTAATATGTTTTTTTTTTTTCATATTTTTTGTAAATTATGTTGTAAATTTTTTATGTTTTCATATTTCATTTTCATTACACGAATACAAATATAAAATATAACATATAAGAAAATTTATAAAAAACAAATTCCAAAATGAAATGAAAACAATAAAGAAAAAAACAATTGAAAAAAAAGAGGGTAGAAAAAAAAAAAAAAACAAAAATATCAATTAAAATTTTTTAACAAATTCAAAAATTCATGCCTAAACAAATTTTTTAAAACAAATATTATTATTTTATGTTAAAGAAGTTGAAAAATTAATAATAATTATAACAAGCCACAAATAATAACAATTTTATATAATAATTTTAATATTAAGAATAAATTAATTAGTACAGAAGTATTTAAGTTGCAATGCACTTCTACAAAAAAAAAAAAACAAAAAATGAATGAATTTCAAGCAAAATTACGAGATTGAATGACTTAATTAAATAAAATATCGATGATTTATTCATTTTTATATTTTTAATGAATGCATTGAATGAAAAACTCGAGCCGATTTTACTTTTGAATGTAAAAAATTTTGAAATTCGACCCGGAATATTAAAAAAAATAATTATGTTTGCTTAATTATTAATTAACTTATGTATGCAAAAATATTGCGTTAAAATTACCACACGTCTCTTCAAATTGTTAAATTAAATTCAATTAATTAATTAATAATTGTAATTAAAAATTTGAAATTTGTATAACAAACGTGATAAACAAATTGTTCCAATTACACAATAACAATAATTAAATAAAATTTTATTTTAATATACAATAATTAATAATAAAATAAAAATTAATTTTAAAATACATAATTTTCTTAAAAAAAAACAATTCTCTAGAATTACAATCTCTGTACAATTTCCATTTTAACAAAAATTAATGATAATTTAAAATTAAAATTTCATTAAATGCATTCATTTTTCTTTACTTATAAAATAATAATTATTACTTTAAATATAATTTTATAAATATAGCCTCTAAAATAGTACATTTTATATGAATAAATTTAATATGTTATTACTTAATGATTTTTTTTTTTTTTTTATAAAATATGAAAATATTAACCTTGTTCGTCGTGAATTCAATCCATGATCTCGTGATCCTTTAAAGCTGATATTTTTTTAAATGATTTTTTTTTTACATTACAAGTTGTTTGATTACATTGAATTGATGAATGTGATGGTATTTTTTATTATTATTCAAAAATTGATTTTTTATGAAAAAATGTTGTATGAGGAACAGTAAAGAATGGGTACATAAAAATGGATACATAAAAATTAATAAAAAAAAAAAAAACATTTTTCTTTTAGTAAATGAATTGTAAAAGTTTTAATATAATAAAAATCATTTTTGTTTAAATTGTTAATTTATAAGAATTATTAAAAATCAAATAGAAAATTAAAATGCATACAAAAGTAATATTAAAAAATATTAAATAAATATTCCAATTAAATTATAAAATTAATAAATTTTAATTATATTTGATAAAAAAAATGTGCACAATGCCTAAAATTAGAGAGATCAATAATAAAATTAGTAAAAGATCAATTTTGTATCATGATATTTATTGTTAGTTTGCTAAAATTCTATTGTACTTATTCATTAATCAACCAGTAATTAAAAGAATATTCTTACATTTAATCTGTTTAATTAAAAAAATTATTTTTTTTTTTTTCTAAATTAAGAATCATATTTTAATAATTGTTGTGCAAATTCAAATGAAAAGAGTAATTAAAAAATTGTTTTCAAATTAAATTCACACCAGCAATTATATTTTAAAATGAAGTCATTGAATTTAAATAATTCGATACAATTGAAATAATTTTTTACAACAGATTATAATCTAGAAAAAAATCTTATATCTAGTATTAGAATTTAATATGAGACTAAACAAATCTAATCATTTAAAACCATATATAGTCGTATAATTAATTGAAATATAATGGTTAATTAGTAATTATTGCTTTGAAAAGAAAACGTGTTAATTTATTATAATTACTTCAAAAAAAAAAAACTTCCAAAATATCAATATGAAATAAATAATTGGTCAATATTGAAGAATAAAATCTGAAGAGCCCAAAGTATGAGAAGAAAAATTAATTAATATTGCAATAACTAAAAACAAAAATAAATATATAAAAAACGAACCTTTGCCTTCTGGATGCACTATAATAATCTGGCGATTGCTCGCGAATATCATGACTAGAACCACGGCTATAAGTTGTTGTTTAACAATATTAAAAATCACAAAAAAATTGTAGAATCGATAGGATTTTTTTTTTTGTAGTTTTTTTATCCATTATCATGATTTTAACGAGCAATTTTAGAAAGTTTTGTTTTTGAGTTTTTTTTTTTTTTTTTAACCGTGCACATTGGATATTTTTTGTTCCAATTTGTAAAAATATAATATAATATTGTGCAAAATTATAAAGATTTACAGTATCAACCAAATAAATAAAGAGTTTCCATAACATTATATAAAATAACATAATATGTAATACAATAAACAAACACATCACGAACAAATAAACAAAACAAAAACAGGAAAATTATCACAACCATGTAATGGTAACACATGTAAAGTTGAAAAATAAAAATATACAAAAAAAAAAATATAAACAAAAATAAGTTAAAAAAAAATTTGATAATAAAAATTATTCTTAAAGTAGTTATAAATATAAATTTATATAAATTATTTATTGTTTAAATAAAAAACAAAAATATAAGAACAGAAATTAATCTAAAGAATATATCAGACGGACCGGACCTGACCCTTGGGTAGATTTTTAGTCTGTCATATATGCAAAAAAAAAAATATTCTCAATATCTTGCAACAATGAGTTTAAAATAAAAAATTGTATTATGGAAGATTACAGTACGATTTGTATACCAAAATTTTTATTCCATAAATTTCAGTAATTTTTATTTTAATAAACAAAAACTGTTTTATTTTAATAAACGACACAGTTCTTTAAGAACTGTGTCGAATAGAAAATTATGAAATATGTAATAAAAGCGGATTCGATTTTTGATTTCGAAAATTAATATTTCTATAATCGTCAATAATTTATTTGCTCCTTTAAGAATCTTCCATTCCAATACCTTTATAAAAAAAACTTTTTAAGTATAAGAAATAATACATGTAGTATTCCCTCCCAAAGATTCCAATACACTTCTAAATTGCAAAATAATATTAAAAAAAGATAACAAATCAAAAACAATCAACAAAAAATACAAAACTAAAACAAAAACAAAGGAAAACCGAAAAAAAAAAAAATCATAATAACAAAACAATTATAAAATCTACATACACAGGTGTTTTACTAGGTCTTGATGGTTTTCTTGCTTCTTTTGTTCCTGCTAAAGGCTGTTTAGGTTTGCATGCCCTATCGACTTCTGGTTGACGTCGTGCTGTATTTTCCATAAATTCTTTATGGTCGGCAATTAATTGTTCTAGTGGTGGTATTTCATCTGGCAATGGCTCTCTTTCGAGATCTATGTAAGAAATATACAATTAAATAATTTAATTTTTAATAACAAAAAATTATAATTTTCTCACTTATTAGAGTTGCTTCCAATCCAGCTAACCATTTAAGTAATTCTTCAATTGTATCATCAAGATCTCTTAATGATTGTAAATGGTCTCTTAATTTATTTTCTCTACCAATTGCCCATTGTGAAACTTCTTCCCATCTTGATTGTATTATTGTCATCCAATTTTTAATTATTGGTATTGCATCAGGATGCGCTTTATCTAATATACTTTGTGCCAGTTGTAATGTATTATCTTTGTCACGTTCTTTTTCTCTTAATTCTCTCATGAATTTTGAATGAATCTCCAATAATTCTCTAGCAGAATTTTCATCATCAGGAGCTGCTTGTGCATAACGTAGTTTTTGTTCAGCTTCTGAAAGCCATTCTAATAACATATGTACTGATTTGTGCAAACGTTCAGCTTCTCTAAGAGCATCTTGTAGTCGATATCCACGTTTAGAGCTTAAATCTTCAACATCACTCCACAATGACTGTAATTCATTTAGTTGTTTTGCAATATCACGATTATCACCAGAACGTTCTAAATCACGTCCGGTACGTAAAACTTGTTGCATTTGAGCTGATCTCTTTTGTAAATCTTGTTCCAAGTGCTTATGATGTTCTACCAATGTTGTTACAGTTTCTAAATCACCATGTACAGGACCTTGATCAGACAAACGCGATCTTGTTTTCTTAAGCCAATCCATAAGAGCTTGTAAGGCATCCGAAAATTGCCCAGATAATAATAAAGCTTCTTCAAATTTACGTTGTCTATCAACACTCTTGGAACATACGCGAGTCCAAGTTTCTTTAAGTTCGACTAACATTCTATTAAGCACTTGTTCATCTCCTTTTGGTGCTCTGTCAATGAGATTCTTACCAGAACGCATTGTGGTGTCATATTGTGATTGTTTGGCAGATAAATTTCGTTGAATTTCTTTAAGTTTATCTAAGAATTTCTTTATTTTTTGTGCTTCATTACAATTTGTTGCTTCTTCAGTTAAATGATCTAATGTCTCTTCAGTTTCTTGTAACCATTGAACTAAATTAACCCAAGAGTCATGGAATTCCCGAGCTTCTTTATAACCATGATCTAATGCTCGTGTTCGTTCAGCTGCTTTAGCTACAACGCGTTCCCATCTATGTTGAACAGAAACTAATAGATTTTTGATTAAAATTACGTCTTGCTTCTGACTGAAATATTTAAGATGTGTTCCTTTTTTATCCAATAACAACATAGCTTCACGATGTGTACTAACATCTTTTTGCAATACTTTATGTTCTTCAATTTGAATTTGTATTGTTTCTAAGACTCTTGAAACCGGAGCGGCTGTTGATAATTGTTTTTCAGCTTGAGTTAACCATTCAACAAACGCTTGAAGTGTATCGTGGAATTCAGTAGCTTCTTTAAGAGCAATTTCCAATTTAATTTTCTTATCGGAAGCTCTTGATAGTACCGCGTCCCAACGTTGTTTCAAAGTTCTCAATATATGTTGTAAATTACTAGAAGAAACCTTCATTTGATTTTGTTTCTTAATATATTCTTGACCTTGAGACTGTAAAGTTTCGACCTTTGGACGATTTTCTTCTAATTCATTATAAACTTCCATAAAACGTTCTAATTGTTCCGTTGCAGTCTCTGGTAATCCACCAACGGGTTTACTAGCACCTATTACAGCATCAACATCTCCTAACCATCCCAATATATCTTGGACTTCGGCAATGAAACTTTGTGCTTCTCGTAAAGCTTCTTCTAATTCATGTTGGCGATCAGATGATTTTTGTAAAAGATTTCTCCATTCATCATTTAATTTTCGTAATTTTTCTTGTGTTTTACTAGCTTCTAATGAACCACGCTCTGATTCAATTAATTGACGACCGGCGTCATTTAATGTATCAACAGAGCTCTGATGGGCTTGAATATCATTGGCAAGTACTTTCAATTTGGCAAGTTCAACTTCTAACAATTGTGGATCACCAGGTATCTAAAATGAAATTATAATTAATATTAAAAATTTTATAATAAATAAATATCTCTGAATAAATATATGTATAAGCATTATATATACCGGTTTCAATTGATCTAAGGTTGTATCTGTTCTTCCAATCCAAACTAATAATTCGTTGAGTGCATGTTGGAATTGTCCCAAATGCAGTAAGGCATGTTCTAATTGTTTTTGCCTTTCTACCATTCCACGCAAGAGATTATCCCATCTCTGATTAACAGCATTCAACGGTTCACGAATTGATGCTTTTTGTTCAATCGAAGTACGTTCTGTTAACTCAGCAGCTTGTCTAAATTATGAAATTAATATTAAAAACTTAATTAATTTTAAATTAATTAGCATTTGTAATATAAATAAGCCAATGACGATAATTGCAAATGTGTATTAAAGCGAAAAACTTTTCTAGCAAAAACATTTTTTTTTTGTTTTATGTTTTCAGATGTACAAGAAGATTTACAAGAAATATTAAGGAATTATCGAGCTGTAAGGGTATTGACACAATGTTCGCAACAAGACGAAATGAATACTTTTATGAATAACATTGAAAAAATGTATACATGCAAAACGATATTTATAATTTTACAATAAATTTATGTATTTTTTTTTTGATTTTTCAACTAAATTTTAACTAATGATTGTAAATGTTTGTAAATGAAAACCTCTTTGTATATTTAAAGAAAATTTTGTTTTGTAAATTTTTTGAACTTTGCATTGAAAACGGAATGCGGTTACGTTATGTATTATAAATATCTTGAAATCATAAAAAAAATTAAATTTAACCAATTGCAATCTTTCAAAATAGCCTTAATTTGAAGACGTGATATTATTATTCAATAAGTACAGTACGTCCAGTCGGTCTTGAAGTCAGTCGATAGATTTACTTTAAGTGAATTTATTTCATAAAACTTAAAGATGTTACAGGAATTTGCTCATTTGAATACTAGCAGAAAAAGAATGTTACTGCTAATATAAGATATTAGTAAATATTTTAAAAAATAAACAAAAATCAGAATTATTAAGTATTGGTAAGTAAATTTAGTAAAAACACTAAAAATTATTCAAATTCATAATATCAATTATGTAAATATGCAGATTATGCTTCTTTCTACATATATACACAAATTTTTCAAACCTTAATTAATTCAAAATTAATTAAAAAATAAATTTTCATTTAAATTTTTTTAGGAACTTCAAATGAGTAAGTATCATTTACTCTTGTTCATTATAATATTGATCTTTTTTTTTATCTTAAATTCTAATTTTATTGATGCAAAATTAGAAGAAAAATATTTACAAAAAAAGGTAAAGGTATTAAGGGTTCTAGCTAAGTATATTTGACGCAATGAAACTTTAATTCTGTGGAGATTCATGTCAAATAAATATGTTGAACAGCTTAATTATACAAGCATTTGTGAAAATTTGCTGTTATTTCTAAATGATTATTGTTATTAGTAGTAGCGAATACATAAAAATAAAAATTTAACAAAACATTAACAGTTCAAAATCAACAATTATAACAATGAACAACAACATCAACAACACTAAAAAAAAATTAACACAAAAAATAAAATTCTAAAAAAACTCTTGCCTGTTGATCGATCTTCAAAAATTCAACGAATTTTTGTATATAATATGGAATGAAACGACAGAATTCATCGAATAAAAATGTTATAAAATAAAATTTCATTCGATTGCATTTAATTTTAAATTTTGTCCAATGTCAATGAAAATTAATACATTTTCAACACGAAAAAAAAAATTATAAAATTAGTAAAAAATTATTGATATTAAATTTTTACAAAAAATTTTCTGAATATTTAAAACTTACCTATTTAAAGCTTCAATTTCAACCATATGCGGATCAACATCATCTTTGAAATGTTTAAGTTGTTCGATTTGTCTTTTAACTGCTTCAATATCTGATCCGATTGGTCCTAAACCAGCAAAACGTTCTTCAGCACGTGCAAAGAATTTCAGTAAATTTTGTAAAGTTTCATGGAATTCCATAGCTTTTTCCATAGCATCAATTAAATTTTCTTCACGTTTAGCATATAATGCTGTAATATTATCCCAAGCATGATCTAAATCTTCAATATTCTTTTTAACTTCTGGTTTGTCTGGTTCTCCACATAATGACATTAAATTATGTCCTTTACGACGAACCTCTTCTACTTCTGGTTTTGTTTGATCAATTTCCTGGCGAATTTCTTGTAATGCGACTTGTTGTTTTTTGATTTCTTGCGGTTGTGCTGCTGGTGGTTCTTGTGAACTTAAAGTTTCTTCTAATTCTTTCAATGTTTCCATAACAGCTTTCAATTGTTTCCAGAATTTTTCTGCTATTACAAGAGCTTCATCCAATGATTTACCACGTTTTTTGGTGGCATTCTGTGCTTCATTCCACAATTGATTCAATTTATCCAATTTCTTTTTAATATCTTTAACGGCAGGATCTTGTTTATTAGGTGCTTTGGCTATAACATCATTTGCAGCTCTTTGTACAGCTGCGTATGCTTCTGTACGTTTATTCAAATCATCAACAATAGCTGAATTATCTTCAATTTGCTCAACAATTTTTTGAGGAATTGCTGAGATTGGATCAAGATTTTCAACTTGTTCGCATGTGTTAGCTAAAGCACGCAACATGCCTTCTAATTTGTCTGAAAATTGTGATGATTCTTGCAATGCCCTTTCTAATGCTTGTTGACGTTCTCTTAATTCTGTGCGAAGTGCTAAATATCTTGAATTATCAGAATCTAGGATTTCTTGTATTTTAGCAGCATCATCATCTGTAACCAAGGCAGCAAGAGCTTCACCTGTTTTATTTAATTTATCTAAGAGAGGTTTATGCTCAGATATTGACTGTATTAGTCGTTCGTTTTTATCCTGCTGAGCTACAATTTGTTCTGGTCTTAAAGCTGGCATGTTACTTAACAATGAAATTTGATGTTCAATTTCATCTAACCAAGACGCTAATCCATTATGTGAATCAGCGAAGTGTTCTGATAGTGGAAGAGCCTGTTCTAATATGCTTAAACGCTCTGAACATAATTGAACGACAGTATCGACAACTTCTTTCAAATCTTCAAGTTTTTCACGTAAGGCAGTGGTATAATCATTTTGTGGAGATTCTCTAAGAACTTTCTTAGCTGATGCAGTTACATCTCGGACGCGACCCTTTTGACTTGATATATCATCATTAATTGAGCGATGTTCTTGCAATTGTGCACGAACTAACTGTGGATCTAGAGCTGGAGGATCTGCATCTCTTAAGCTAGAATCCATATCGCGGAACCATTCTAATAATTCATCAATATCACTGGTTACTTCTTTGGCACGTTGATTACTTAGATGAAGGCGTTCAGCTTTACGTTGAATTTGTTCAACAATAGCATCGAAACGACGATTATCGCGAGTGACTAGACTTTCAATTGTTGAAGCACCTTCCCCAGGAGAAATTTGACACAATTGGGGCCCAATTAAATTTACTGTTTCAAGCACCGGACGCATATCAGCTAATTCAGTTTCTAAACGCAGAATATCATCTTGACGAGGTTCACCTGCAGCAAGAGCACTTTCAGCTCCTTGCATCCAGTCAACCAAACGATTATGAGCCTCATGGAACTGTTGTACAAGAGGAAGTGCTTCTTGAGCATTTTTCAGTAAAGAAGCACCTTTGTTTGCAAGTTCTCCATAGCGGCGTTGTAACGAGTCCAATTTGTCTTTTAGTTGAATTGCTTCATCAGCACTAATATGTTTCATAAGTTCTGAACCAGCGTCAACAGTTGATTCAACACTTCCGGCGTGATTGGCAACATTTTCATTCAATTCCACTAAATGATCCATTTGTTCAAGTACCTTTTCTGTATGGACTGGTACAACTTTATAACGTTGAAATTCTTTCTCCATGCTCTCCATCCAAGCAACAAGTTCTTGGTACGTGAGTACTAAGTGACGCAAACCTTGACGAGATTCAGCTAAAAGTCGTCCAATATTTTCACTAGCTTCTACTAGAGAGGTGTAACGTTCCGTTGTTGTTTTAACTTTTTCACCCAATGAAACGGCTTCATCTTCACCTACCAAATCCATTAATTGCCCAGCAATATCTGCAATCTCACTAAAATCTGGCTTTTTGGATAAAATTTCATCATGTAATTTGTCGTGCTCTCGAATTCTTTGTTGAATTTTTTCTTCATCTGTTGGGACCATTTCCATATTTTTAACTGAACGTTCTGTATTATCTAACCAACGTAGTAAAGGTGCAAGCTTGTCGTGGAATAATTTGGCGACTTCCATGGCTTGTTCTAAATCTCTTTCACGTTGTTGAGCACCTTCAGTTAGAGCATCAAAACGGTTCATTAGTTCTTTAAGCTGACGCTCGATAGCAGCTTTTTCAGATGGTTCGCAATTTGCTGCTACTTCTTTACCCAAAGTAAACAACGACGACATCGAATTCTGCCGGTCTAACAGCATTTTCTTTAAGAATTTCTGTTCTTGAAGTTGAGCTTTAACTACTTTATAATCAGCACTTGGTGGTTTTTGATTTGCAACCATGTCTTCTGTGTCAGACAACCATTTTGAAAGACCATTTAAAGCTTCTTGGAACTTTCCAGATTGCAGTAAAGCAATATCTAGACGACGATCTCGTTCATTCAATTTTTCTTTAAGATCGTTCCATTTTTCATTCATTTTTTCTAAATCTTTTTCAATTATTGACGTAGAAACACCAGTTTGAGCTGATCTTACTAAATCTCTGCCATCCCTATTTATTTCTGAAACTTTTTGAGCCAACGGTTCAACTTTACGATCGCGGAATCGTCTAAAATCTTCTTGTTGGTTCTTAATTTCTTCTAAGGCCGAACTAACTGGTTTCATTCGTTTAACTTCATCAGAAATATCTTTCAAATCATCCATAAGAACACTGTACTGATCATAAAATCTTTGTAATTCTTTAAGAACGGTATGTAAGTTTTCTTCTTGATCTTTAGCACGATTCTCCAATCTCAGTAAAGTTTTCTTAAGAGTGATAATTTGATCTCTAGTTTGTGCTGTATCGGGAGAGAAGCCTGATTCAACTAAACTTTCACCAGCACGTTCTAAATCACCAACACGGCCAGCTGTTTGGTCAATTTTATCCAAAACGATATTGACTTCTTTAATTTGCGATTGAACCACTTTGATTTCACGACCAGGTGGAGTTAAGTTATCAACAAGATTTTCTAAATCAGCCAAATCAAGTCCAAGATTCTTAACTTGTTCATTAAATTGGGAAACGGCTGTGGCAGCAGATTGAAGTTCACCGCAACGATCATTGAGGCGGTCCAGAAGATCACCAATACGATCGCCTAAACCTTCAACTTCATGTGATAAATGATCTGCATCACCGCCCGCGGCACGAGTTTCTGAAACAATATCTGCTGCTGATTGTCTCAAACTTTGTAATGGTTTCTTTAGGGTAGTTACGTCTTCTCGAATAGCTTTGACACGATCTAAAAGTTTTGGATCTTTACCGGCACCTCCTAAAGAATCATGAGCAGCTAAGCGGTCTTCACAACGTCCAACTGAATGATCCAAATTTCTGAGCTCATCCATGAAATCAGCCAAACGATTTGCACAAGTTTCTAATTCTTGAGCTCTTAACAAAAGATCGTTATTCAAACGGTCCCATCGTTCCCTCATATCTTGTAGTTCATTTTTAATTGGATCTTTATCTACATCGCAAGCTGCAAGGAATGTATCTCCCAAGCCTTTGGTGTTTTCATATTCCCCAGATTTTTTCCAAACTTCACTACGGAAGGTTTGTAATTCGCGTAGTCTTTGATCAATTTGTGATTTTTTCAAAATTCCAGGACGTAAATCAGCTAGTTTATCTTCAGCACTACGTAACCAGGCAAGGAATGACTCCGAAGTTTGTCCATATTTCTTACAGTGCTCCATGCATGTTTGTAGGCGAGTATGTCTGTCGACAGCGTCACGCCTTAGTTTATCCCATTGTTGTTGAATACGTTCCAAATCTCTTTGGACAGCACGATCTGGACTTGATCCTGGTCGATTTACTAAATCTTTTCCTTTGTTTATAAGCATAATGATTTCATGTTCGCGTGCCATAACTTCGCGATATATTGGTTCATGGGTATCAATTTGATGTTGTAATGTTGGTTTGTGAGCAGAAACCAATAATCTTTCTGATAAGTTCGCCAATTCACCTGCTAGCCAACCTAATGTTTTTGAACAACTCTCAGCAAATTGTCGTCCATCGCGTAGTGCAGCTTCAGTTTCAGCTTTACGATTATCAAGTTTCTTTTGTAATGCTTGATATTGTTTTTCTAAAGCACCAACACGATTATTGACATCAGCTTTAGAAGCTGGATCACTTAGCACCTTACATAAAGCTGCAGCTGCTTGTTCTGCATCAGCAAGTAATGGACGTTGTCCTTCCAATTGTCGTTCCAAATTTTCAATTTTACGTAGATTTTCTTGATGATCTTTATCGATCGGCAATGCATCCAAATTGTCACTGATATTTTGCAGGGCCTCACGAAGTCGGTTCAATGCAGCATCGAATTCTTTACTACTATCAGCTGCTCCACCTAAACTATTAGCTCGCTCATCTAGACGTCCAACAAGATCATCCCATTTCTTTTGTATTTCACGGAGTTTCTTTACAACACCTTGCCCTTCAGGAGAATTTTCTTTAACATGATCCAAGACAGCGTGACCAACGTCTTGTAAATGATTCAATTGCGGTTGTTGAGTTCTAAATTCTTCTCGTAAAACTTGAACTTGCTGCACTTGACTTTGAACCATTCTTGGGTCCGATGAAATGGGTCCTAAAACAGTTAACATACGTTCCTTACTGTTAAGCCAATTATTAAGGTTATCATGAGTATCCAGGAAATCACGCAATTGTTCAGAGAAATCGATTCTGCTCTTACATAGATCATATAATGTCTTCCATCGATCAGCAACATTTTCAAGCTCATTTCTTAATCGATCAGCACCCGGTACATCGGGTTTGCGGCGAAGTAAATCCTTTATTTGTGTTTTAGTTGAATCTAATAAACTTTGCTTCTCGTACATTTCATCCAATATTTTTCTAATTTGCCTAGTGCAGCGTTCAGCTTCATCTTTACTGGCCATTTGTTCTTTAGGAACTTGTCTTTGAGCTTTATCCAAAAATACAAGAAGTGCTTTCAAATTGTCTTGATGTTTTTTAACTTCTTCTTTTAAGTTGTCCAATTCATTTTGTCTGTCGTTTAGACGAATTCCAACTAAACCATAACGGTTATTAATTTCACCCAATTGTTGTTGAATAGGTGTTGTTTCATTAATTTGGAAACCATCTTGTGATGATCGTCGACTTCCAAAACCACTTGATCCTGGTGATAAAGGTGAAACAGATTGACCTCCTTTAGTCGGGCTTGGAGTGCGGTTTTCTCCAGAAAGTCGGCGACTAGGACTGGGACGTTTAACGGGACTATAACTAGAACGTTTACGTCCAGGACTATCCGGTTGTGTTAAAGCATCATATTGATTTCCTAAGTCATTGACTTTATCAATAGTTGGACCGTAATCACGATAATCTTTTTGAATTGGTTTTAGTTCATCTATTTGTCGCTTAATAAGATCTATATCGACTGCCACTGGTTGTAAGGAATTAGTTCTAGCTTCTATACTTGCTAACCATGCTAAAACTTGGTCTTTGAGATTTTCATAGGCATTAAGTTGTTCAGCTTTTTGTTTTGATAATCTTGCTTTCTCATCAAGAGATGTGTCGAGATTTTTCCATTGATTTTCTAAGGCTTTAACGCGATCCCTAACACCACTAGTGTCAGTTACATCACGCATTTGTATTAAATCTTTGCCAATTTTAACGCAGTCTTCAAAGTGCGGTCTCAATTTTTCCTTCATTCTGGACATTTCATTCATTCGATGTGCTAATTGACCAGCATCTAATGAAGCAATTTCTCGACTTTCAAGAGCTTCTTGGAGTAAACATAATTCTTGCTCAATTGATGAAGAATCTTGTAGGAATCTTACTAGTTGAGCAAGTACGTCATCCAAGAATTCACCACGTTTCACAGTTTTCTCTAATAATTTTTCAAACTTATTTGTTACGTCATTTAATTTTTGTTCAATTTTCTTTACTAATCGAGCATTTGAGGCTGTTGGCATTAAATCGTGTGCTGATGATGTTACACTGTCTATACTAGCTTGATGTGATTGCAAATCAGCCAATAACTGACGATGCTCACGTATTTGTTCTTGTAATCTATCTTTTATAAGTGATGCTGGGCGGAATTGCATGTTGAATTTATCTTCAGCTTGATTAACCCAACTAACAAGACCATCTAATGCATCTTGCACACCTTGTGATTTGACCAAAGCTGTATCTAAAAGTTTACAACGATCGCCTAATGCTTCCAATAATTGATTATATTTATCTTTAATTTCTTCAACAGGAATTTCTAGTGCTGAAACTTCTGATGGACTTAATTGACCTTGTAATGATCTTAAAAGTGTATCTAAAGCTTGTTGAGCATTATCAATTAGACGACCTTGTTGCAAAAATTCATTATGCAACTGCTTAGCATCACTCATTTGTTCCTGTACAGTTTGTGGATCAGCAGCAATTGGATCTGATAATATTTGCGTAACACGTGGTTGAACAGTTCTTAGCCATTCTCTAGCCTTATCGACGGCATCTTGGTATTCACGTTGGCGGCCACCTAAACCAGACATACGGTCAGACAAATTATTGGCACGATGAAGCAAATCTTTGTATTGTGTTGAAACTAAAGAGACTTCCTGACGTATTGGACTTTCAGAAGAAGCAAGTGGTTCAATATGTGGTAATCGATCAGGTAATGATGTACGGAATTCATTTAATATATTAAGAAAATCTTTGCTTTCATCAACAAATTTTTGCGCAGCCATTGTTATAAAACGTAAATCTGCTTGATGTGCAATTACATCACTAACAAATTCACGTATTGAATCTGATTGTGAGGATAAACGATTTAAATCAGATAGAGCACGTTCTTTATCTTCCAATATACGTCTTGCGGATTGTAACCAATTTGAGAAAATATCTAATTCTGAACTTAATTTACTTAATTCATCACGTGATGCTTCAAGACGTTTTAATAATTTTGATGTACGATTTGTTGCTGTATCAACACGACTACGTAATTCACGTCCTGAATTTTCTAAAGATGTTACTTCAGGAGCTGATAGTACATCACCACCAGTTAAAACTATTTGACGTATTTGCTCCAAACAGGAGGCAACTGGACGTGATTGAGATTCAATTTCATCTTTGATTTGCTAAAAATAAAATTAATGTAAATATGAAATATTTTTCTTTTATTTCATAATAGCATATTTGCTATAATTTAACCCTTACTCGTTTAATGGTAGTTTAATAAATGAATAACTTGAAAATATCGATTATAGCTTTTAAAGAAAGAAATCGAAACATAATATTAGTTTTACCTTGAGTGAATTTATTTGATTTCTTAAATCATCAATTTTTTCTTTAGGTCCACCAATTCGAGCAATTTTCTGTTCTACAGTAGAAATCCATTTAAGTAGCCCAGTGACAGTTTCTTCGCATAAGTTGAATTTTTCGAATACTGCTTGCTATTTTTTTTTTTCATTACAATCAAAATCAATGTAAGAAAAAAAATTTTTAAATGAGAATACAAAATATAAACATTAATAAAATTATCTACGATAAATTAAATAAAAATAATAAAATAAAGTAAGTAAAATACATGAACAAATTTTATAGGAAATCATAAGGATAAATATTTATAAAAAAAAAAAAATAAAGTAAAGAAATAAAAAAATTTCTTTAAAATTTTAAAGGTTTGAAAAAAAAGTAAATCTGAAAACAAAATGTTTATGATAAAAGCCTGTATTTTTTTGTCGTAATAAAAAAACACAAAATAAATAAATCACTGAAATGCACTTAAAAACTAAAAACAAAAAATAGAAAAACACAAAAATTTACAATTTAAAACAATAAAAACTATTAAAATATTTACAAATAACAAACAAACAAACATAAAAAATTAAAAACAAAATGCCACAATAAGACCCCAAAAATAAATATCTAACTCCCCATCGCATAAAATATAAAATCTTATATTTAATATTCAATTCATTCAAAACATACACAACAATGCACGCATTTACAACATTTACTGACAAATTCATCAAATATAACAAGCAAATAAAAAAGAACATAAAATAAAACATTCAGCAAAATAAGCATTTCATACATTTATGTATTATAATAATATTATGAATAATTAAAAGTAAAAAATAAAATAAAATAAATTGTAATATTTACAGTAAGCCATTTGCAATATATATTGGAAATATTTATATTTTTTATTGTTCCTCCATATGCAATTTCTAGCCCTTACGCAATAAATCGATAAAAATTATTGCATTCAATCACCCACGCCACCTGCATGTTCTGCACTCGTTTTTAGAAAATTTTTGTCTCTTAAATCGAATAATTTTTTAGGCAATATGAAATTGTGAAATGGAACAATTGCTAACTATACGGAAAATCTTTATACGTCAATTGTTTTCGTTCTTTTACAATTCGATCAGTAAATTTAATATTTATATTATACGAAAGTTGTTTACATGAAGTACTAATATAGTTTTGGGTTTTAAAATTTAATATAATTAATTAATTCATTATTCAACGTATTATTCATTATTATTGTTTAATTTTTTCATTGAGGCTCTTCAATTGCAAATGACTCTTTTAAATTTCAAAATGTTTTTTGACGTTTTTTTTTTGTATATATAAAAAAAATAATATACAGCCGCCAACACGCACAAAATAAAGCATAAAATTAAATTTAAAATTTAAATAAATAAAGGAGCGCATTCATGCAATTAAAAGCTAAAAAAATATTTTTTAGTATTTTTTTTTTTCTTTTCTTTGGTTTTAATCAAAGTTTTTATTTATTTAATAATATTTAATTATCACAGAATAAAAAACATTTTAAAGACAAACCTGTAAAAAAAAATGTAAAACAATTAGAAAAATATCAATATAAAAATTTCAATAAACATTTCAAAAATAATTTTTTTAATGAAATCCAAAAAAAATTGACAAAATGTTACTTTTAGTACCATAGGTAACTAGTCCCAACAATTAACCGGTAAAGGGACAACCAGTTACTTCAATAAAATTATATTATGAAAATTATGTAAGTTTTTAATTAAGGTTAAAAATTTTATTATAACATTAAAAAAAAAAAAAAAACAATTTGAGTATTTCGCATAATTAAAAATTAAATTTTATTTAATTGCTGTTTATTGAAGTAAATTAAAAAAATAAAATGTTAGAACGCCAGAACATTGTTATTATTTAAAGTAGAAAAAAAATCTACAAACGTAACCATAACACTGAATGATTATATGTGTGTGTATGTATAAATTTTAAAATTTTAAAGGTGTTTTCTGTTCAATTTAAAAATTAATTTTTTTGTTTAAAAATTAAATGCGATTACTAAATTTATTTAACGAAAATGACAAATAATTTTTTGATTACATTTAATTAGTGAATAAAAATATCGATATTTCTAGAACGGTTTTTTTGCAATTCGAAAACTAAAATTCAAAATAGTGATGGCAATTCGATTTTCGATTATTTTTTTATCGATAATAAAAATCCTTTTATATTTATTTTAAGTAAAAGTACGATAATAAAAACTAATATCAAAAAAAAAATACTAAAAAGAATTTCAAAAATAAACAAAACAAAATTTAATTGAAAAAAAAAAACAGAACTAATTTAATTAAATTTTATAAAAAAATTCATATAAATATTAATAAAATATTGACTTAAAAAATAAAGTGAAAATAATTGCATAAAATGAAGAAAAGAGAAAATGAAAATTCGAAAATTACATTGGAAAAAAAATTATACTATAAAAAATAATTATGTGAAATAAATAAAATATCTAAATAAAATTAAAAAATAAAATAAAAAATTACTTAATACAAATTATTCAATGTGCAAAAAAAATTGCAAAAATACAAAACAAAAAAATGCATAATTATTAAAATATTCAACTAAGATTATAATTGCAAAACTAAATAATACTAAATAAAAATAATAATAAATCAAAATTCAAATGAATAAAATAAAAATGAATTATAAAAAAAAAAAATTAATTTAAAAAAAAATTATATTTATATATTTTGTTTTTATTTTGTTTTTTTTAAAAAGAAAAATAATATGGTAAATAATGAGAAGCCAAAAAGATCTTCTGCCGCACTTTGTGTTTCTTTTTTTTGTTTTGCTCTCGAAAATTCAAACAAATGTCAAATGTGTGATGTAATTTTCGAAATTGATATTTATGAAAGTTTTCTATGATGTTTTTTTCTTATTTCAAATATAATGGTAAAATGAAAAGTATTGTAATATAAAGTAGAAGAGAAACCATTCATGATAAATTATTTTTTCGATAATTTTCTGATATTTTTGTTCTATATGCATTCTGAAGAGTGTTTTGTTTTCTTTTTTTTTTTATTTTTTTGCAATGTTCTCCGTCCATCACTTTTTTTTTTTTCTATATTCAATTTTTATTTGTTAAGCGCTGCATTTTATATGAGAAAAGCTTGAGATTAATTTAAAAAAGATTAAAAAAAAAAAATATGAAAAATAAACAAGAATTTAAAAAAAAAAAATGATATTAATGATAGTTTTATTTTTAATTATCATCCCTTTTTCAAAAGCATTAAAATTTTTTTTTTTTAATTTCCAAACGAAAATGTTTTTTATTTAAAAATGTTTTTCTTATAGTAAAATGCTGATTTCTGGTTCCCAGTTTAATGTTTTTGATGAGAAATTTTTTTTTTATTTTAATTTTTCGAAATTTCCACTTTTTTTTCAAAAACTTTCTTGAGGGATTTAATTCCTTATTTTTGAATTGTAAGCAAAAATATAGATTTATATTTGTATTATGAATTCCGTTCGTAGCCCTAAAATTCGAAAAGTTATAAATGTAATATTGTCAATTTCGAATTACTAAAATTTTGCTCCCGAATATTCGTAATAGTTTGATCATAAATTACGTTCGTAGTAAAAATAAATGTCAAAAGTTTACGATAAAAATAATTACATGTAATAAGCAATTTAAAAAAAGAATGGACAATTTAAATTTTTAAGTTTTAGAAATTTTTTTTTTTGAGTTTGAACTCCTCACAGCTACCGTAATAGTTGAAATAAAATACTGATTTTGATACTGCGAAAAATTATGCTGCTAGGTTTACAAGTCTACGTCATATAGCTAAGTTCATTTGTTAAATTTGTAGGATTCTACGAATGGAATTCATGATAGGGCTATTAATAAGTATAAGAGCTGTTAATAAATAATTTCGAAAAATTAAAATAAGATTTTTGCTGGTAAAGCTGAAAGTGATTGATTAATTTATTATATAATAAACAATACAAAAGCTGCTTTAATTTATTACACTTTTAAATTTAAAAAAAAAAAATTTTTTAACATTTAATATAGTATTTCTTTTCGATTTTAAATTTAATATTGAATTTATTAATGAAAAACATTATTATAATATTGTAATTTGATTTTTTATATTAGTTTTCATAGTAAATAAAAAATATTTTTAATTTAATTTTTAAATTCTCTGAAAAATTGTTAAATCCTCTTATAATTGAGAGAATGGAATTAATTTTGAAATTTTATTAAAATTAGTCTTAAAAATCTTAATCGAACTGAAATAAATCGAATAATAAGGAAGTTTAGAAAGACTAGATTTAATAAAATTGCACTTTGCATTTCTAACTTTTGTATTTTTTTTTTATATATAATAAAAATTCAATATTACAGAAGGAAGTAATGAAAAATATATATTTTTTTTATGTATATTTTTTATTTCGGAAAAAGAATATTCAAACACATGCTAAAAGTATAAAACAGAAATTTTTATTAATTAGTTTTTATTAATTTCGTTTCATTTCATTTTAAATTAGTTACAAATTTTTCAAATTTAAAAAATTATTAAAATTCAAACATAGAAGTTTGGTTTGTAATATCAATTATAGAATTCATGCAACAAGTGGCTTTTTAAGTTTCTTATTTACTTTTTTTGAAGCCAATTTTATTTTATTAAAAAAAAAACTAAACCGTAAAAGAAAGAGACATGCTATTGGAGACAAAAGACATTTTAAGAAATTTCCAATGTTGAAAATAACAACAGAAGTAGAAAAAAAAAAACATACAATTTTGATGCCAATTTTTTTTTTAGGAAAAAAAGTAAAAATTAGTTTTTTAAATATTAAAAAAAAAGAAAATTTTTTGTACTCAATAAAAATGCAATTGAATTTTTTTTCATTAAATTAAAAGAAAATTTAGAAATTAGTAACTGAGTCTAAAGTGGCAAAAGTTATTGTACTAGAAATTATTTTAGAATTATTAAAAAATTATTGTTGATAAAAATATTCAGTTGAAATTTTTAAAAAAACATTTACAATGGTTAATAAACATTCTCTTTGGAAGTATAATTTTAATAAAATCAAAGTCGAACAACCATTTTTAAAGTTTCCAATATTGGAAACACTGCAAAGGCCTTTAAAATACCTTTAAAATGGTAGAGCACAAATAATATTGTTACTGGCAAAGTTACAGAGGAACTAACATTCAAATAATGAACGACTTTAATTTAAACAAATTAAAAATAAAGCAAAAAATTGCATTTTAAATAAGTACAAAAAACAAAAAAAAAAACAAAAAGAAAATAAAGTAAATATAAAAAGTAAAAATTTGAAAAATAATTAATTTAAAAATAAATAAATGAAAAATCATGCTACTTGCTGCAAGTTTTAATGAAAAAATGAATTTAGAAATTAAATTTAAAAAATTTTGTTAAATTTCAGATTTAAAAAAAAATCAAATGAAAAAATTAAATTAGAAAGTGTTTGAAAATCTGTAAGTAAAATTAGGAATTTTATAAAAGTGTTCTAAAGGAGAATAGAGATTATTATTTAATAAAAATTTTTGGAAAATTAAGAAAGGGAATTTAAAAAACAAAAAAACTAGAATAGAATTTTTGTGTTATTTTAAATTTAAAAACAAGTTATATAAGTAAGTGTTAAAAATTCTCTCTCAAAAATTAATTTAAAAAAAAAAAATAAGAAAAGAATATTAAATTTCAACACATTTTTTATTTTAATATTATTTTTAACAACAAAACTTACCCTCTGTTCAGCTGGTAATAATAAATTCTTTTCAGTAGCTTTTACCAAATCAAAATTATTTTTATCATCATATTTATCAATCCATTTACCATCATTGGCATCTACAATACCATTTGCTATTGCTGTTTGTAATGGTACAATTTCACTATTATTTGTATTAATTGTATCACGTACCATTGTTGTTGATGGATCAATTAAACCATTTTGTATGGCATCATTTAATGTTAAACGTTTACTATTTAATATATCTGGACTTGTTTGAAATGGATCAGTTACATTACCGGTTGTTGGATTATATAATTTATATTGTATTGCTTCAAGTAAACCAAATGCACGTTTTGGTGTTACCAATAAACCTGATTCATATGCCATTTGTAAACTACATAATTTTGATGTTTTTGTATCTAAAACATTAGCTTTTTCAGCATCCATTAAACCTTTACGGAATGCTTCTGGTAAACGAACTAATTTTTCTTTAGCACCATCTTTAACTAAAGCTGAATCTGGATCTAATAGACCTTGTGTTGTTGCATCTTTAAGACTTAATATTTTTGGTTCAATTAGTTCAACTTCAGAATCAGGTTTTAAAGTATTATCATTGTTTTTATTTTTATTAATTATTGTCGGTGTTTCAACAGTTGTATTTGGTTGAATATATGTTAATTTACCGGTTGTTAAATCTAGACTTTGATTTTCTACCGCATAATCAAATGAAATCGGTTCCGTTTTATAAACAATTAACATTGGATCAAATGTAAAAACTTGTGATTTAGGATCGACTAGACAACGCTTTGATATATCTACTGTACCTTCCTCAATTGCAAGTGATAATGGAATAAATTTAAATGTTCTAATAAAATCTTTAATTACTGCTGTTTCAGGATTGATTATTTCATAACGGATAGCTTCATCAAGGGACATTTCACGTGGCTTACTAATAATTTTACTTACAGGTGAGGTTGCTAATAATTCAATACTATCTTCACGTTTTTTAAATGGACGCTCTGTAATTGGTTTATGAGCCGTAACCAAAGTTCCTTTATCGAAACCTATTTGATAGTTATATGTTGTTTTTGTTTTTGGATCTAAAACTCTACCTTTTACTACATCTATATCACCATTTTGAATAGCTTGCTTAAGGGGATAATCTATTCCTGTTACATGATTTTTGAAAATAGTTGTATCATGATCAATTAAGCCATTATCAATTGCTTCAGCTAAATCATAATAAGCTCCTGTTGATGGATCAATAATTTTACCTGTTTCTGGCTTATATAGAAGCATTCGTAGTGCTAATTCTAAACTTAATAATTTTCTATTAGAGACTATAATTCCTTGAGCACGAGCTTGTTCTAAATCTATTTTTTTACCATCTGGAAGCACATAACTACCATCCAAATCATCTATAAGCCTTTCTTTAATAGCATTACCTAACCTTATATATTTATTTGATCGAACATCTTTTACTAAACTAGAGGACGTACTAACAACATCTTCAACACAAGCGTCCCGAAGTGTTAATAATCGGCTACTAACCGGCTGAATCACATTTCGACTACTAATATCATAAAATTTCATTGCAAGAAGCTCATATAGACCGAAGCTTGCACTTTCAATGTCGACTATCAGTCCTAAAGATAACGCTTCATTCAAAGAAATGTATACATCGCTACCTGGCTCTCTGAAAACTCCTTCTCGTCTGTCAATCAGACCAGATCGACATGTTTCAGCTAATGTAAGCATTTTTTCATTTTGTTCATCGAAATAGCATGGTAGTTGAGGATTTATAATGAATTTTCTTGTAGCTTCTAAAATAGTAATATTGCGACCAGTTTTTGGTTCAACAATTTTTCCCGTTTTTTCGTCATATAGACCTTGATGTATAGCTCGTTGAATACTAACTGGAGCTTTGCTATCAGCAAGAATCGTAACTTCAAATGCATGTCGTAAAGTAAGTCTTTGATTATTATAGGTAACGGTTGCTGTCTGTGGATCGATAACCCCCATTTCAATAGCTTCTGCTAAATGAAGATCTCTATAAACACCTGATTTTGGATCTCTGATTTGAACTGAATCTGGGTCAATAATTTTTTCTTCAATAACTTCACTAAATGTGAGTTTTTTACCTGACTTTGGATCCATAAACAACCCTGTACCTTCATCATAAATATTTTTCACTACTGATTCGGACAAACTTAATGGTTTTTTAGCTTCAACAAGAATACCCCGATCGAAAGCTTCTTTAAAGTCAATATTTTTTCCATCAGAATCTTTTACAGTACCACGTTTCGCGTCGATTACACCGTCTTGCACTCCAATCTCGAATGGTAGCACTTTGCCATAAGTATTAACAATGGTCGACTCAGGATCAAGAATTCCTCTACGAATGGCACGTTCAGTTGAGAGTACTTCTCTGGTAATTGTGTTGCTAAATTGACCAGTTTTCGGATCATACAAACCGCCATAAACGGCATCTGGTAAACTTCGTTTACGTTTCGGTGGAATCAAAATGCGGTTTTCGAGAGCTTCAGTTAATGTCAATTTAAGTCCAGAAGACGGATCAACTAATAATCCAGCAACTGGATCTAAATAACCTAATTTGATAGCTTCAGCTACCGATATAATATTGCCAGATTTGGGATCTAATATTATTAATTCAAGTGGATTTATAGTTTCGTTGGCCAAAATTGCATCTTTTAGTGTAAGGTATTTACCATCAATATTAAATTTACCGTTATTAGGATCGTAAAGACCTCGAAGAATACAATCAACAAGAGATAATGGTTTTTTAGTGCTTACGATGTAACCTTTAACAAAGGCTTGATCTAGCGTAAGTTTAGGACGGGTTAGATCACCTTTTTCGGTGTCTATTAGATCAATTTCAATAGCCTTTTTACCAGATAATAGAACATCATTGTCTTCATCTTTAATTAAAGAAGAATCAACTTCAATAAGACCAGAATCAATTGCTTCGTGAAGTGTCGTTTCATGACCAGTGATGGGACTTAAAACCTTACCACTTTCTGGATTGTAATATTCCTTTTGAAGGACCTCACATAAACTCCATACAACTGGATTAGTTTGAAGCAATTGTCTTTCAATACCAACATTAAATGGAATCAGTTCATTCGATTTAGTATCTTTTACTCGCCCGGTTTCTGATTCAACCAATTTATCTTGTATAGCACTATCAAGTGGCAATGAAGTATTATTTTTTGTATCAACAATCATAGATATTTTGGGGTCAACAAGACCAATTTTGATTGATTTTTCGACATCAACACGATTTTGGGATTCTGTGTCTAAAATTTTACCAGATTCTGGGTCGTAAAGACCGGTTTTAACGGCGGCTTCAAGAGATATAGGTTTTCTAGCACCAGGTACTAAAAATCCACGTTTATATGCATCTTCCATAGTCATAGCTTCATTCGTGGCAATGTCCAAAAGTGTACCACTACTTAAATCAACTACACCCAACTCAATTGCCATACGCAGTGGAATAACTTCACCACTGACGGGATTTCGCACTGATATTGCTTGTATATCTATAATACCGTTATTTAATGCTTCAGATATCGGGATCATTTGACCATTGTCCAAGGAAACATAACCAGTCTTGGAATCAATTAAATTTTCAATCGGCTGTACCATTTCGAGTTTTGGAGTACCACGGATAATCCAACCGCGTTCGATACATTCAAAGAATGGTATTTTTTTACCAGTTTTGGGATCTACCATATGACCTGTATGTTTGTCAAGTAAAGGCCGCTCTAAGGCCACGTCTAGAGTCTCATATTTACTACGAGAAAAGTTTTTTACCAAAATTGTACTTGTATCAAATATATTCATTTCAAAAACTAATGTCTGGAAAGAAATTTTTTGCCCAGTTGTAGGATCAATAAATATTTGTTGTTCAGGATCATATAGATCAAGCTCAGCAAGTTTTTCTAAAGTAAGTTCGTCATTGGCACCTATTACATATTGAACTCTTTCAAGTTCTACTAAACGTTCATCGATTACTCGAACTTCATCTAAGGGACTTAACTTCTCTTCGGCTAAAAGTTCTTGTACAACTTCCGGTTGTTCTTGACCATCTACTATAATTTTACATATGTCAGGCTTTATTTTGTTCTGAGAAATCGCATCACCAATCGGAAGGCTTTCCGGTTTTTGAGGTTTGGACAATTGATTTTCTTCTGTTGGTATTTCTTTTTGTAAAGTTTCTGATGTGACTTTTGAACTAGGTTCTTCTACAACTGCAGTGCCGGATGGTTCTTTAACAAAGGAAATTGTTTCAATAGTAACGGTTGAATTCAAACTTGGGTCACTTGCTACTGTACTTCCATTCGCAAGTATTGTAGCATTTCTTTCATGTTCCAAGAAATCATCTACATTAGATATAATAGCCTTCTGAGGCTTTTCTAAAATTTCAGACTCAATCGGCCTTTGTAATTCTGTTATAGTTGTAATTGTTTCAACTGTTGTTGTAGTTTTTGTAATTGTTGAACTTGTTGTTTCAAAAGATTCTTGTTCGACAATTTCAGATTCCGGTGATTCTTTTATCAATTCGTTTGACTTCTCAACAGACGGTTCAATTTTCTCTTTAGGAAGAGACTGTAAACGTTCTGCTTCCAAGAAATCATTAATATTAGAAGGTTGTTTTTGTTCTGCTACTGGTGGTTCAATCAATTTTATTTCAGTGTTTTCAGATTCAATAGGTAACTCACTAGTTTTTGTTGTAATTGTAGTAGTTGTTGTAGTAGTTTCAGTTGTGATAGTTTCAGTTATTGAAGGATCAGCTATTTTTCTATGGTGAGTGTCAATCGATTTTTCATTATATACCGTTTTCAGGTCACCTTCAGTAGTATTTTCTTTGACATCAGTTTTATCTGCTGGTTTCACTATATTTTCTGCCGGCTTATCTTTTGGTTTAATTTTGTCTTTTGCAATCTTTGATTCGTCAACCTTTTCTATGACTTTTTCTTTGACAACAGGTGTATCATTTTTAATTTCTACTTGAATAGATTCATGAGGCTTAGGCTTATCTGTTTTTACAACTTCAACAACTTTTTCTACTTTTGTTCTTTCTATTGGGATTGGAGGCTCCTTTTCAGGTGATCTATTCTTGGGAATTGGTTTTTCAGTTAGCCGTTCTGTTGGTTTCGGTTTATCTGCAAACTTAGGTTCCTTATCTTTCTCGTCACCTTTTTTCACGACTTTCTTAACTGCATCTACAACTGTAATTCCAGCTAAAACAGGTGCTCCTACAACGGCTAGTAAACCCATTTTTGCTGCTTGTTTAACATTTACAGATATTCCCGATTTTTGCTTAATTTCGCCAGTTGTTGGACTTATTAAACCTTGATTTACTCCCTCTTCTAAAGTTTGAACTTTTCCGCTTGGGATATCATACACAACAGATTTAGGATTTACAATTCCTTCATCCATAGCTTGTTTCAATGTAAGTAACCGTTTCTCGTCTTTAGGATCTTTAAATTGTTTTGTTTTTTCATCATAAATAGTATCATATGCTTCAGTTATTGTCAAATTTTCTAAAGGTTTTTCTTGTACAGGAGCTTCAATTTGTTTACCTGATTGAATTATTTGGTTTTCAATGGTTAAAATTCCTTTTTCGACGGCATTTTTTACAGATATAGTTTCGCCAGAATTTGGATCAGTATATGTTCCATCTTTAATGTTCACCAGACCCTCTCGTACAGCATCTGCGAAATTCTGTTTTATTTCTTTTGTGGCAACTGTTTGTTTTGTTTCAGATTCGTCAGAAATTATTCCCTTCTCTTTAGCTTCTTCTATTGAAATAATTTCACCAGTTTGTAGATTTTGTACTTTATCATTTACCATTGCGTATCCTTGCAATAACGCAATAGTTTTTGTTGTGACAGTGTGAACTGATGTAATAGTTTCTGTAACGGAGGTTACAGGACCTGTAGAATGTGTTAGAACAAACTCTGGAAGAGGTTTAATTATTAAAACACCATTATCAACAGCTTCTTTTATAGAAATTGTTTCACCAGTTTTTGGATGTTTCATTATACCGTTATCTGTATTAATTATACCAGTCGATAGAGCATCATTTAGTTCAATGGAATCTGGATTTGGAGGATACGGTACAGCCATTATGAGGTTTTCGTCAATGGCCTGTTTAATTGGAATTCGTTCTTTAGTTATAGGATGAACAATTTCATTTGTTGAAGGATCAAATAAACCTTTCTTGACGGCAACTGGAAATGTCATACCAACTGGAGGAATTTCTTCTAAAGATTTTCCAGAGTCTTTTGGATCGAAAACTTTTTGGTCAATGGCTTGAAGTAAATCAACATTTCCTTTTTTCGTATTTACAGTTGATTCATCCTCATCAATTATACCTTCTTGTATAGCTGATTCCACTGTCGATTTGGGTTTTAAAAGTTTCGATTTGGGATCTAAAACTTCACAAATGATTGCTTCTTTTACTGACAACGGTGACCCTGTTTCAGGATGGACAATTTTCGCATTCGAAGGGTCGATTAAACCTTGATCTTTCAAATGAGGAATCGAAATGCTTTTAGCTATTGGTATTAATATGTTATTTGTACCTTGAGGATCAATTATACCGCGTGCAACAGCTTCAGCTATATTAAGAATATCACCTCTTTGTGGATCAACAATTTTACCTTTTGTTCCGTCTATTAGTCCTACTTCTAATGCTTCTGATATTGTTAAAACTTCTCCATCTGGTGTAGTAAAGTTTGACTTGTTTTCTAAGATCGTTGCTGTGTCTTCGTCGATAATACCTTTATTTTGGGCATCTTTAGGTTTGTAAATTTGTTTTCTCATTTTCTGCAATACAACAACTTTTGTTTCCTTTTCTGGGCTTAAGGATTTGACCCTACCTATTGAAATTAAATGTTTAGGTTCAGTGGACACCATTACGTTTAAGTCACCTTCGCTAGGTAAGCTTCCTCTTTCTAAATTAATAAAATCTTCGGTCATTGATCTAATACCTGTACGATCGGGACTTTTTGTTTGTGTTGGTGTAGAGCCTTTTGACGAATCAAAAGAAAGTTCATCACGTGAAACAATCCCCCTTTGATATGCTAATTCGACGGGAATTTCTTCCCCTGTTCTTGGATCCGTGACAAACCGAAGAGTTTTTAGAGCGCCTTCAGCAGCAACTAATGGAGCACCGATAACAGCAAGAACCCCTAATTTTGCAGCGCTAACTAAATCTAATCTACTTCCGGTTTTATCGATTACTTCTCCTGTTCTTGGATCTATTAAATTTTTAGAAATGGCTTGAGAAACAGAAATCTGCTCTCCGCTTTTAGGATCAGTTAATTTAACTAAATTGGGATCAATTAAGCCCTTAGCAACTGCACTTAATATATTTTCAGATTGGCCTGTTTGTGTGAATATAACTAAAGCCGTTGAAGGATCATATATAGCACCTGGAGTGATTTGAATAGGTTCAGGACTAGGTAATTCTCTTTTTGAAGATGTTGTTGTAATTGGCACAAATTGTGGAGGATTTTCGTTGAGACGATCAGAGACCTCAACAACATCTGGCTTACCAGTGACTTTTGTAATTTGAATTATTTTTTGATTTGTTAAATCAACTTCAGATGGATTTTCAAATATTATTTTACCAGATTTTATCGCGTCTTTCATACTGATAGTTTTCTTATTATCTTTATATTTACCAGTAGAATCAAGTACTTTCTTTTCTAAGCTTCGATCTATAGTAATTTTACGCCCGTTTTTAGGATCGATAACACTGGCTGAATTTTTATTAATGATTTGAAGTTGAATACACTCTTGGAAGCTAACTAAACGATCTGTGCCAGGGATTAGGAAAAGACCTGTTTCAGGGTCCAATAGTTTTTGTTCGATAGCTTTAGACAATAACCATCCTTCTGGTGGTAATTCAAACGAGTGTCTTTCGGTTATTTGATGCTGCTTTTCAGACGTTATAAACTCTGAAACCAAAGTTTTAGAGCCTTTTGTTTCTTCAACCACAGTTTCCGTACGATATGTTGAAGAAAATTGTTTTGAGCCATCACCAGTTGGAGAAATTATTGTATCAGCCTTTTGAGGTATTGGAATATCAATTGATTTTTCAATAATTTTTTGGGATTTTAGTTTAATTGGATCAGGCTCTGGAATGATTTGTTTTGTAACTATTGTCAATGTAGATTTTTTCGTTTTACGACTGGATGGCTCTGGAACATCAGTATCAGTATCAGGCGATAATAAACCGAAATTTAATGCTTGTTGAATTGAATATATTTTACCAGTTTTCGGATCTTTAAACAACTGACGTGATTCATCAATAAAACCTTGTCGGACCGCTTCTGTAAATGTTAAAACTACTTCTTCTGGTTGGCTTCCAGATGTAACCGTAACATAACGTTTAATAGTTTTTGTAACAGTTTCTGTCGTCAATGTTATATTTAATAAACTACTTAATAATAAGGCACCATCAGGTGTTATGAATTTACGTTCAATAGCTGTATCTAATGGAATTGGTGTTTTTGTTTTAGGATCTAATAAATATCCAGTTTTTGGATCTAAAAGCTCTAAATAAACTAAATCTATTACTGTCAATTCTTTACCACTAGCATCATGCACACCAATCGGACGGTTAAACATTTCATATACCTCACCACGAATAATTTCAGATTGAAGACCACTTTTTAAATCTAATAAATTACCTTTACCAGAATCAATGAAAAATTCACCATTTTTACGAATTAAAATATCTCTACCTATAGCTTCATTAAAACTAACAAAATCATTGCTATAAGGATCTTTGAAACCATCAATATTAAATAAGGATCTTTGTTGTACAGAACTAATAAGGCCACGATCTACAGCTTCAGGAATTGAAATTTTTTCACCAGTTTTAAAATCACAATATTTAACTTCAGATGGTAAAATAATACCATCAGCAATTGCTTCTTGTAAAGTTATTAGCTCACCTTTTTGTTTTGTAATACATTTTAAGTTACTATCGTCTAAAACACCAGAATTTATAGCTTCTAGTATTGTTAATTTTTCTCTACGCATTGGACTGGTTATTTTACCTGAATTTTTATCAAGTAAATTTAGATCAACAACATCTTTCAATGTTAAAGGTTTTAAAATTAATTGCCTATTACGGGCTTCATTAAATGTTAACTTTTCTTTTGTCACTTGGTTAATATATCTTCCGGTTTTCGTATTCAAAATACCTAATTTAATAGCGTCATCTAGTGTTACCTTTTTATCATTTTTGGCGTCAACAATTTCACGCCATTTCGAATTTATTAATTGATTTGAAATCGCTGTATCAAGTCTAAATTTATCACCGGAATTACGATCTGATATCCAACCACTATTATCAACTAATCCATGTGCAATTGCATCCGATAAACATAAGGCATTTGATTTAATTGTAACTGATTCATGTTTTATTAAATAACCATGTTCATAAGCTTCCGCAATACTTATTGTTTGACCATCACTTTCAATTTTATATAAACCAGTATTTCCATCAATATTACCATCAGCTATAGCATCAGCAATACTTTTTGGACGCTCATTATTTACTCTTACTGTGATTTTACTTATATGACCACTACCACTACTACTATCGATTTGGTCTACTTTTTCATTTACCTTAATACGTTTCTCAGCTGATTCATAACCATTTTCAGCTTCAGATATTTCTTTTTGTATTATTTCTAATAAACATAAATTACGACCAGTTTGTGGATCAATTCCAGCATTTGGTTGTAATAAATCATTTGCTAAATTTGGATCAATTAAACCTTGTTGTACAGCTTCTTTTAAATTAATTGGTTTTCCATTAACATTTATTTCTCCGGTTCTAACATCTAATATTCTTAAATGAATTGCTTCACCAACCGTTAATATACGTCCAGTTTTTGGATCTTTAATACCAGGAACATCTAATAATAAACGTGATGTTTCTGTACCAACACTTTCATTTGATTTCTGTACTCGTTTAAGACTAAGAATTTTATTAAATTGTACTGAAGAGGCATTATTAAGAGGCGGTGGTGATTGTGTTGCATCACCATTACGTTTTGATGGTGTTGTTTCACGACTCTGACTATTACGATTTGTATAATCTGTACTTTCATAAATTGTTTTGGTTGTTGTTTGTTTTGTTGAACTGAATCTGAAAAATTTAGAATAATAAAAATTATATCAGTAAAAGTAAAACTTTTTATTTTCTGTTTGAAAAAATAAATTTTAAAAATTTAATTAGATTGATTATTAATGAGGAGATTTTGAAGAATTTGAATTTCTTAAATAATTACTATTCTCCGAAATTTTCATTTTAAAACAATAATTTTTAGGAATTTTTATTAAAAATATTGCTAAATACAAAGTCTTTCAAGAAATAAATAGATGAATTATGAAAAAACTTATACAATTAAGAATAAAGCAGAGGGCTATTTAAATTAGATCTTTATAAAAAAAAAATAAACACTTAAAAGTTCACTGAAACAATCTTATTGCATTTTAATTTTTGTGGAAAATATTTTCGCTCTTTAACAGAAGTTACTTAGATGACATTTATGTGGAAATAAAGGAAAAACAAAAGTCCTGTGATAAGCAATACCCTCTCTTATTTTCTCTAATTATATTTTACAACAAATATTTTATATTTTTTTAATTAAAGTTTATATAATGAAAACTTCACATAATAACATCATCTTTTGACAAAAAGGAAAGAAAATAATCCTTGACTTTATAAGGATTCTTCAGAAATAAAAAATTCAACTTTACTATTTTTCTTTTCCTTATGTTTGGAAAAATTTCCTTAAAATATAAAAAATTTTCATGAAATATTAAAGAATTAACGATTTAAATGTAGGTAAGGTACATAATATATAAATGTTATGAACATATACAAGTTTTAGTAAGAGAAAAATTTAGGTCATGAATTTACTATTTTGGGTGGAAAAATATACTTAAAAAAAATTATGATATATATACGTGTACATACACATTTGTATGTGTATACATAGCTTCATTTTCAAAAATACAAAGTAAATAAGTAAACTGGTTAAGAAAATGGGTTTTTGAAAATGAAGAAAATTGCTTTTAAAACTTCCAAAAAGGAAATTTAAATTAAAAAACTATAAAAGAATCAGAAATGTCCTAAATATATGTAATTCAAAAGATTACAGTATTTATTTTTTTTGTTTTCGAAATATTTACGATTTATTGTGAATTAATTTTAAATTATCTATTCAATTTGCAAAGCATAATGAAAGTTTATTGAATCGAATTATTAATTTTCTTATTGGTATTCCTCGATTCTTCAAAAAAATTAAATACAGTAAAACCTTTGAAAACCGAACTCTTTGAAAATCTTTCGTTCCGGAATAATAAAGCAAAATATTTTAAAATTAAAAAGAAATTGTCATCGTTTTTTGAATTTATTAATTCAAGGGAGAGAGTTATGAATACTGTGAAGGTCAAAAAACTTAGAAAATTTACGGCTTAGACAGTAAAGAAATCTCGGGCCTGAAAAGTTTTACTATAATTACAATCAATCAAACATAGAATACAATAGAGATAATCATAGAAAAGAAGAAATAATTTTGATTTTGTAGCTCATTTTTCCAGGCACAATATATGGTAAAAAAAATATAATTAGATTCTTCCTTCTTTTGATATAATTGAAAAAGTACTTTGAATGAAATTTACCAGAATTGTGATTGAAAACGGATTATTTTTCTAAACCTGTTTTAAAATATAAGATTCAGAAGCAGTAAATATACAGTAATTACTCTTATCTAAGCAGAATTGAATTTAAAAACTGTGAGCTTATTATTGCAATAACGAAACCAGAATATTATTTCAAAATCAACTCAAATCAAATGTTTTAACAAACAATTTTATTGTTTTTTTTTTTTTTTAAACTTACTGTGTTGTATAGGATGATGTATAAATATCATCACCGATATTTTGATTAATTTGGGTACCATCGCCAGCTGGTCCACTCAAATTAAATTCAACTCTATATGTTCTAAGTGGTTTCTGTAAACTTTCTGCATAACGCTGTAATAAAAATTATTTAAATTTATTTAAAAAATTTATTAAATTTTAATTTTTTTTTTTTTTTGTTAAAAAAAGAAAAATATTTTAAACAAAAATTTTATTCTTCCTACCCTAATCTCATAGGCAAAATCATATTCATCTTCTTCACGGAATGATGATGATGACGATGACGACATCATTTATTTATTTTTTTTGATTTTTCTTGTCTTTTTTTTAAATTATTTTTAATTATTTTTTTTGATTTTTATTAATTTCTAAAGTAGTTTTTTTTTAATTTAAATTTTCTCTTCTAAATCACCCAAAAAATTTCTTTAATTTTTTTTTTGTTTTTTATAAATGCAAAATTTTCAATTTTAATTTCTTTTGTAGTTTTTAATTAGTTGTAGCTTTCAAATTTTAAAAAAAAAATTTATTCAATAATTTTTTGTAGTTTCAATGAAATTCCATTTACTTATAAAAATAATGGTAGCAAATAACGTGCAATAGAAATAAGTAGTATAGGTAGTAAATTACAAATCTTATATAAGTAATAATATATAAATTAAGTATATGTAGTAGATGTAGTAAGTAGTGGTAGTAATTAAGAGTAATAAGTGCAGTGATGTGAAACGAAATTTTTTCAAAATTTTTTCTTTTTCTATTATTATAGTATATATATATAGGTTGTATAAACGTTTAATATAGCAAATATAACGTTCTATAATTGTAATAAAATTTGTTGACAGAGCAAAGGACTAAAATTCAAAGTCACAAAAGGATACGAAGACAATTATATACGAAAATTTTGTTTGCACATAAAATACATATGTATTATGTATATATGTATATGTATAACGGATGATGACTAGAGAATTATTTGAGTTTTATTCAAAAAAAACATAAAAGTTGAAGAGTTTCAAAATGAAAATTCACTATTTTAGTTGTTTCCCCTTTTTTTTTGTTTCTTCTCCTTTTATGATTTCCACCGGAAATTTTCTTTCTTTTTTCTTTTCTGAATCAATAATATCCTATCCTTTTTTGGTGTAATATATAAGAAGAATAAATGTGGTTTTCTTTTTTACTCTATTATTTTTCTGTTGTGTCTCCTGTTTTCTTTTTTATACAATATCCTCGTCTCTGTGTGTGTTCCAAAAACTCTGCAATCGATGATCCAATTTCGGAAAAAAAAAATTGTTTTTTTTTTTCTTCCAATTTTTTATTTTTATTTTATTAAACTATGCATATATAGTATGTATGTACATATTATGTATATATGACATGCTTGTTTAGTTGAAGATGACGATTGTTAAAAAAATCACATGAACTAAAAATTTTTTTTTTCCTTTTGTTTTTTATTCTTTTAATAATTGTAATAAATTATTATTATTTTTTTATTTTAATTGGTTTGATGAAAAAATTTTCTTGTTTTTTTCTTGTGTTTTTTGTTTGTTATTTATAGAGATGTTACAGAGAACAACAAACAAACAAAAATGAAAAAAAAAAAATTGCGGCGGTGTCTTCGCGTGTTTTTCTTTTTCTTCTTTATTTTCTTTTTATTATTCTTATCATCAAAGAGTTTCAAAAATAAATTTATGTTCTAATATCACCTTTATTTTTATTTTTGTGTTTTACATTAGTTAAAATATTAAAGAAGTAAAAGTAACCAAGAAAAAAATTATTATGAAAAATTAAGAAATAAAAAATAAAAAAAAATTTAAATTTAGAAAATTTCACTTTTTTAATTTTTCATTTATATTTTATATTTTTTCTTTTTAAAGAATAAAATAATAAGAATAAAACCTTGAATGTTGTATTTTTTGAATGTCACACCACTACTTGTATAATTAAATTTTTTAATTTTTTTTTTATAATTATTACTTAAGCTTAAAATAAATAATAATTTTTAAATAACTAATTATGAAAATTTGAAATTTTCTTGAAAAAAAAAATTGAGAAAAACCCGAAAAACTCTTTAATAGAAAACTTAAAATTAAATAACAAAAAATATAGAAAAAAAAATAACAAGAATTTTCACAGTTAATTGCAAAAAAAAATATAAAAAAATCAATTTATTATTTTAATATTTTTTTCCTTTAATAAAATATTTTTCATTAATAATGAAATAAATATGAAAATTTAAAATAAAAACACGTCATTCTTTCTTTTTCAATGTTTAAACAACGAATGTTGACAATTATTAATAAAAATGTATACGAAGAGGACTGACTGACTGACTATACGTCGGCATTATGACATATGTATAATTGGAAAGTTTTTTTTGTTTTTGTTGTCAAAAATAAAATACATATATACAATAATGAGAAATTATTGGAATGAGAAAATTTTTTTTTTTGGAAAATATTTATAGAGTAGACATAGGACAATACGGTTTACATAAATATTTATGCAATACTTTTTCAAATTATTTACATATGTACTTTAAGTATATAGACTATAATGCAATTATATAAAGGAAAAATGTCAAATTTTTATTTTATTTACGAAAAACAAAAGCTTACACTCCTATACAAAATACAACAATAATAAAAACAACATAACAGATGAGCAGAAAGAGAAAAAAAAAACATCATATGGAAAATCCGAATTCAAAAAAATATTTAAGAAACATTGAAATGATGAGAAACAGATGAGAAATATTGGAATATTGTGGAAAAGCTTTTAAAATTTTTTATTAACAAATTTTCCGTGAATGTTGCTTTTTAAGAATAAATTTTCCAACAGACAGAAATGAGAAATGTATTATTTTTTTTTTTTTGCGCTGGAAGTGAGTAAAAGAAAAAAAAATAGTAGCAAAAATATTCATTAATTTAATTGAACTACATAACCTCAACAAAAAAATAAGTAAAAACCGAAAAAAGAAAATATTTGCGTATTCGGAAAATTTTCAGTAACAAAAAAAAACAAAGAAAGAAACAGAATTTTCCGGCTCCTTTATTTACTAGTTATATACAAATTTACTTATTTTTATGTATAGGTATTTCTTCTATATACGAGTAAATAAATTGCGTCTTCCACACAAAGTGCTTTTTTTTATTAAAAAATTGGAAACATGTGACGTTATTCTTTATTAATAAAAAAAAAAAAATAGAAAATTATTTATTTACGATTTTTATTAAAATAAATTTCAATTGAGAATCTCGTAAAACAGTTTCTTTGGTATGTATAGAGAATTTTATTATAAGGGTATAGAAAGGTTATGGGTATATTTACATATACCATGGGGGCAATAAAATTTATTATAGATTTTGTTTGTATGATGTATGGTAATTGTGTCTCATGTTAATGAATAAATTATAAATTAAAATAAGTGCAAGTTTAGTATATTGATTTCTACATATTCTTAATTTAAAATTTATACAAAAAAAAATATGAGAGACTATGGTCAAAAAATGAGAGACTAAAGAAAATGTTGTATGGAAGACTATTAACTTTGAACTCAAAAAATTGTATGGAGGACTACCTTTCCGAAATATTTCGTGTTTTTTTATTAAAATTTTCAAAAAAAAATTCCAAAATTCTCATTTTGAGTAGCTTTTTCTCGAAAATTAAAGGTTAGATATAGTTTATTGTAAAAACAAAAATAGGAATCTTTTAGTCATCTTGAAACAAGTGTCTTATAGTTGCTCTATGTAGCACAATTCGAAAGTAATTAGTATATATTTATAAATGAAGAAAAAATCTGGAACCGATTTTTTTTAACAGACTGTAGTTCGAAAACGAGTATATTTGTACACACCCTTTTTTCCACTCATATGATTTTTTACTGGAAGTTGACCAAAAAATCATTCCTAAAATTATTTGCTACCTTATGCAAACAACACTGTATAATTATTAAAATTATAAAAATTGCATATATCTAGGAGTATTTCAAAATTACAATTTAAGTGAATGTGTATTGATGTTTAAAAAATAATACTGCAAATTTATTAAATTCTTTTGAATAATTTATTTTGTCAAATTTTTAATAATTATTAATGAACGAAAATAATGAAAATTTTAAAAATCAAATTTGTACTACACACATAAGAAAACTAATTCGAAGTAAATAAATATTGTAAATTGGCCTTATATATATTTCGAAGAAATTTATTGACAAATTTCTACGTGGATGTTTTAATAATCTATGTATATATACATGTATATATATGTATATTTCCTGTATGTAGTAGTTAGTTCAAACATATTAATTATTATACAGTCTTGTTATACATAGTTAATAATTGTATATACAATAATGTAAAAATTTTAAATATGTAGATATTTTATATCTGTGTAGGGCATTGTGTATTTTACTGAGTTAAATATGACACTACAATTCTCAAAATCATTAAGGAAAAAAAATTAAAAGCTTATTCTCTATTGTGTTCAAAGGAAAGGTAGGTTAAGGAAAATATAAAAAAATGCATCTCATTTCTCTCTATTAAATTTATGAAATTAAACAAAAGCTCTACAACAGAAAATCATATGATTTGGGAAATTTTTTTTGTATATAATAAAATATTATTTTGGGAAATTTTAACATTTATTCTGTCAAAATTGTTTTGTAATTATTTTTTCTTGCATCACAGCTTTCAAATTGCAATAATTTAGCTGAACTTTAGAAGTTTTGTACTTAATAAAGAATTTCTGCATAAATGTACTCATTAAGGGCGCACGAAAAAAAAACATTTCTGTTAAATAATTGAATTTCAGATGAATAACCTGCGAAAATTACTTTAAATAAGTAATAAATTTAGCGAAAAATAAAAATTTTGAATAAAGTTAATATTAGTTAATTTTTTATTTTTTTTCTTTAATTAAAATTCAAACTTCATTTTTAACTTTCAATAAATTTCCATATGATGTCATCATCACAGAACTTATTAGACTACTTAATTAATAAACAAACAATATAAGTAAGTAGAAAATATTCATTCACAATGATAAAATACATATTCATATATCAGAAAATTAAGAAACACAAACCAGTATACAAAATGTAGTTAAATAATACCGGTTAT